GCACAACCTATCAACCTTACTGTAGCTGATGATGTGAGAAAGTTTGGGGCATTAGATAGGATATCTGCATTCCCATTTGAAAACTACATGAGGAAGTTAAAGAGAATGGTGAAGAAGCCTCAGTTCATCTTAAAGCAAGTTGTGAAGAGAATTACTGAGGAGAGACAATTTTCAGGACAGAAGAACAGTGACGGAAGAGTTGGATCTGCAAGAAAGAACGACATGGCGCCTTTTCAGTCTGAGCAATGCATTAAAGCCTATTGTAAAGACTTCTTTGTATCAACTTGCACAGGAGACAACTGTGTGTCAGTAAAAGGAGAGATAGGTGTTGTCAAAAACATTTTTTGTTCTGAACAAGAAACCTACATTGTCTTCCACAGATTTAAGAAGCAAGAGTCACTGTATCTATGTTTCATGGACACTAGGGATATTGGGTTATACAAAGTCTGGGATGAGAGCAACAGAGATAGGATTGTAAAATTGACTGATATTGAAAAAAAGTATGTTCTGCTACCACTTGGTTCTTCATGGGCTCTGCCACTCCTTTGCTTCATCTGATTTAGATTATTAAAATTTTTATTAGTTTAATATGCTGTTGCAGTCAGATTTAATTTTTTCTAATCATATAGATGGCAGAATTTTATGTGGTGGAATTTCCTGAGCGGGAAGAAGTAGCAGTGGTGAGCAAAAACTGGATGAAGGGGGAGAAGAAGTGCCTGTGGCCACCATTTGTTTCGGCAGACAAAATAAGAAAAGCTCTCATCAATCATGCAAAACCTGACATTTCCTGGCAGTGTTATGCAGTTGAAATTGTCTATTCAACAGGTAAGTTTTTGTGTGTCAGTGAATTAACCACTTGTGTTCAGCCAAATGGCTACTTCAATATTAGTTTAAATACTGAAATACCGTAAGTGGAAATTAGCAGGAGAACATTTTAAAATGAATGTGAGGAAGCACTTCTTTACACAGCGTGTAGTTAGAGTATGGAATAGTCTTCCTGCTAGTGTAGCGCAAGCTAAAACCCTGGGTTCCATTAAATCAGAGCTAGATAAGATTTGAACTACTCTGAGCTATTAGTTAAGTTCTCCCCAAACGAGCTTGATGGGCCGAATGGCCTAGTCTCTTTTGTAAATTTGTTATGTTTTTATTTGTTCAAGCTAATTTGTTAGTATACAGTACTGTTACATTAAGGCACATTGCCCACTCAGCTCCAAAGATACTGTCTGATTATTAAAAAGTTTTTGTATTTCATTCACTGATTGTATTTGTTTTTCTCTACAAATATTTTATTTGTAGAAAGTTATGAGAAAGCCAGGAAAAAAGCCAAGGCAATTGAAGAGGACACTTCATTTTTCAGTGATCCAGAAAGACAGCTTGAAAGGGGAGATCGTTGTAGAAGGTACAATAATTCTCCTAACCCCATTTCATTGCAATGAATTAAGGGCAGATTTCAAGCTTAGAATTTCTGCATTATAGAATCAAAATTTATACTCTGCGGTTTATCTAATCCATTAGCATCTGTGTTTTTNGATAAGAGAGAGAAGCTGCATTCCTCTGCATGTGTGGCCCCTTTGCTGTAAGCTCCAGTGTTGCTTTGAAGCTTAAAGCCATCCTTTGTTGTTTGGACTGATGTCATCTAGGGGTGAAAAGGAGCAGAACGTTTAATTCAAAGCCATAGACCGCATGAGGTCATCCCGGATTGGTGTATTCCCTGCTGAACACTTAGATGCACCAGCACTTATGCATCAGGTCAGAGTCTCGATGGAGACTCAGCTGTGGAGACAGTGCTGCTTATGGACTATGCTGTATGACATGTCAGACAGGGAGAACGAGGGATTTTATCCGTTAATGCTAATTCTTATGATGCTAATGCGAATTCTTATGATGCTAATTCTTACGATGCTAATGCTAAATTCTTATGACATTAATGCTAATTCTTATGATGCCAATGCTAATTCTTATTACATTAATGCTAATTCTCATGATGCTAATGCTAAATTCTTATGACATTAATGCTAAATCTTACGATGATAATGCTAATTATTATGACACTAATGCTAATTCTTTTGATGGTAATGCTAATTCTCACAATTGTTAATGCTAATTCTTGCTTTCTAGCTGTTTTCTGCCTTACGCTTCTGAGACATGAAGTCACAGTCAAAACCCATCTAATCCTCAGACACTGCTGATGTTTTCAGTAAATGCACCCCCCAGGAAAACTGACCTACAGTATAAACCTTCAGTTGGGACTCACTAGCCCTTAGCATTTCCTCCACAACCCCCTCGTCCCGCCCCTCCCCTTCCAGGCCTCGTGCCCCCTTGTCAGTCTCAAGGTAAAAGTTAAATATATCAAACATGCAGACCAGCTATGAACGGTCTGTATTTATGTAGCTCCACAAATACCACACACGGTGCACACAGACCTCTGTGCACTAACAGATCAGCCAGGTCGTTTAAACAATGTTACGCATGCTCACTTGTTTTAACATGGTTTGGTTGTTCTTTCAGAAGGTTTTATGTCATTTTCAAGATGAAGTAAATTAGAACAAATGTGCTGTCTGATGGGAGTCCTTTCAGCGTTGGTGCTCTGATTCGGTGGAAAGACTCAAGTCAGGTTTAAAACCTGCAGCCCTCACTTGATAAGCTGGTCCATCAATTGCTATGTGCTACAAGAAAAACAAGGAACTGAGTTCATCGATGAGATTATTGTTGGCCATACTTATTACCATGATGGATGTGTTCAGATTAGTGTATATCATTGTGTCTGTTTACAAAAAAACAACTTTTAAGTAAAACATAGCAAACAGCAGGTTTGTTTTTATATCACATATACCTTCTATAAAGTGTTCTACAGTATTGTGCAATAGTTGGCAAACAAAGTGATGTATTAAAGCTGTTTACTGGGCAGTGAGTGCATGTTTTCTCAAGAAAAAATATAATTGAACATTAGAATGTAAATGAACAGCAACACAATAAAAAATGACAAGAATTTCTTCCACTCTCCAAACAATTATTGATATCATTTTGGATGAGTATACAGTAGCATTTTTATACTGCATGTCCATACTAGCGATGTTCGACTGATAGTCGGGTTCGGTGCTCTGTTTCATCATCGGTGTGATGACAGACTTCAAGTTTTCCCATTCCACTACCGATAGACCACCCGCATCTGGTGAGTTTATCGGGGGTCTGCGCCGTCTCCAGTGACCTGGAAGATGTGCAGTTCCTCCTCATCAAAGTCAAAGAGTAAGATCACTTTATCCCCTTTGGGCATCTCCCAGGTAGCCCTCAGGTCTTCTGACGGTGCCATCATAGGTACCCGTCTACGTGTCGTACATATCTTCTTGGGAGCCCCCAGAGGCCGCACACCATCCTCCTGAATCTTAGGCCATGAGGCTGAATCTTTCCTTTCGGTTGTGCCAGACATGTCTGTATTTATAATCTCTGTATTACCTCTTACTGTTAGGCCTACTACTTTTAGACCATGCATGAAGCTTGCTATATTCTCCACGGCCCGCTGGTGGCGTGGCACTCCAGACATGTACAGTGGTACCTCAGTTCTCAAACTCATTAGAACTCAAATTTCTTAAAAGTCGAACCAACCAGTTCGAAAAAGAAATTAGCTAGAACTCGATCTGAATCCCAGAAGTCAAACCGTGAACGCCGACCTAGGATAAAT